CAAATCTACCTTCTAAATGATAATAAACACTAGAGCTAGTATGCTATTTTAGATGTATGAAAAAATGAGCACTTTCTGTATATAACCCTATCCCATTATGGAAAAATTCACTTTTCTGCTGTACTTCCACAATTCTCGATGCTAGATTGCAAACATATGCCACTGCATGCAAAAGATACCATTAAGATTCAATTTGTAGTTACAAGCCAGAAATGCAATATAGGATTGACAGCGTCCTTATTTACTCAAAAATTACTAAATGCCAAAATGATCCCTTTTAAACTATGCAACTTATCAAACCGGCCTATTGTTCAGTGGCATTCAAATATTCAATAGGGTTTTGGAATAATTGCCATAAAGTATGTCTCATACATCTGGATAACATAATAGCCAGAAGAACTCTTGAAAAGCATCTAGAAAATAGGAAAATGCTACAGAAACTGAGACAAAATTTAAAACTGAACCCTTCCAAGTTAAAAAAAATTTTGTTAATGACCTCAGTCATGACCACAAAAGATGCATACAAATTCTAAGTAAAATCAAAGCCATTTATTACAGGTGCTGTCAAAATGTTCATCTTGTAATCTGCACCTATATTGACCAAGTCTAGCTCCAACATTTTCAGCACCCTATATAAAATAAACACACTAAAATTCCAACAAATTATACCTTTATGTAGTTGTTGCTGATAAGGACAACTTAGTTGGCATCCTAGGTTGCTGCCCCTGATCATTCAAAAACTACAAACATAAGTGACAGGCCGTGTGCTCTGAAGACAAGAAAAAAAAAGCTTTACAGATTAAAATATGATTTGGCAAGAAATGTCTGGATTTAGCAAAACAAAACTGTAACTGACTCCGAGATTAAACAGCTAACTCAATTTTTGACCACCCATGGGAATATTTCAGATGGCAACTCATTTTCAGAGCTTAACAGTCTTATGGCGACTATTTTGGTATTGCGAAAACACACTATAGAAGTACATATATATTTCTTATGAGATGAGGCAAAAGCAAATGCCGGAGAGATTCAAACCTTGTGACGTATGAGGAATTACACCGGCTAGCAAATATAAACATGAGGGCAACTACAAGATAGGATTATTTTAAAGAACTGCCTTAAATGTTCCTGGTTCAATATCATGAACAACTAACAGTAAAAACTACATCTTTAAAATGGCAGATGTTTATCGAATAACTAATAAAAAAGCTTCACATATCACAAAGTTCTCATGTATAACTGGATTTTCTAGTTTGAAGCACCCATTACTCACTCACTTCTCAGGCTGAAACTTTCTTTTATTGTATTTAACATGTTCACCACCATTGTAGATATACAAAGCTTCAACAGAAGTCACTCTAATTTAAGCAAACGATTTCATATAGGTTGACAATGCATCTCTCCAAATTAAATTTTCTAATGCAACAAATTCTTGTATTGAAATTTCTGTACTTGATGCATTTTAGTAATCAAATATTCAGAATCATCTGTGTTATGGACAATCTTCTTTACCTGAGACACTGAATCAACTAATTAACCTTGTCCAATAGCCTTCCAATTATCCTGCAAGTTCTTTACCTGTCAATGGTCTTTTACATTCTCATCTTGCTCACTTAGGAAGGCTGTGTAAATTGCCATTTACTTTGCTCATGCTACATGGAAACACTAAAAGCTGGCACTTCCATGCCTATACTACACAAGCACAGACCTAAGATAATGCCCAGAAACATGAAAACAAAGTTAACATATACTTCAGACCCTGCAGGCACAAGATTGGTAACCAACCCTACATCACGCACCAGCATGTAATCAATACCAAATTTCTTAGTCTAGAGAAAACTTCTCAGCACCTACAATTAGAAAGCATGTAGAAATGTTTAATCACCCAATTCTAGATTTATTTTAATTAAACTGATACTGGATAGTAAATAGTGCTGAAATTTTATCCCTTCTAGTTTACAAGAACACTTTCCTCAAACGTATCAGATTTACATCATCCCAAATAAGGTTTGGTATGACAATCTAACATGAACACTAGATGAACACCAGAAAAGTTTCCTTTGCCTTAACAGCATTTAGAAGACCTTCAGATACATTTCAGAAATTTACCACTTAGAGGACGTTTACCAAGTCATTTCGCTAGGAAAGCGAACTGAAACATACTGAAGTAATGATTAACAGAAAGAACAAAAATTTTTGAACCTATTTAATGTCTACAACATAAAAAAGCTTCTGGCATTAAAATTTCAGATTCTAGATTAACTTGTTCTAAGGATTTAAAGGTAACATAGAATTAAATTTAAACTTCATTCCACTATGATGACTTTAAATACAAGTTAACTAGAAAATTTCACATACCTTATTCACAAATTATGTTAAATTTCCATTCAGTAAAGCTGAAATTTTTTCCTTCTAGCCACATTTTAGTTAAAAAAAAATAAGCACCTATACGCACATTTTAATAAAAAATAAGCACATGTCTAATTACACTATACACAACTGCATAACCTTATAAGAATAATTACACTTGTAATTTAAAACATGAGAAATTCAATATTTGTTAAGAGAGAATGAGTATTACTCAATCATGGAAAACATTTTTTTTTAAATAAGTTCAATTTACAGAACTAGTTTACAATGAGAGAAGAAAAAAAACTATGCAGAACTAAATTATATTACAAAATTTAATGATGAAATTTCAGTTTGAAATAGAGAAAATAAATACAATTAATTTTTCCACTCATATTAATATTTAAATAATTTAACTTAAAATTTTCATTGTATAACAGATATTGCAAGCAAAGTAGTATAAGTAAAAAAGGAACATTTCTGAAATCAGAAGGCTGAAAATTGCTTCATGTAGTCATCCTGTACCAGTTAAAGCTTAATTATTCTCGGAAATTGAAGAATATCTGAAAAATGCGGATATAGTCGAGCGTAACTGGAAAAAGAGGAGGGGGGTTAGATTGTAGCTGTTCTTTAGATTTTTCAGCTAAATAAATGCTTTTAGACATTTTGATATGTGACATCATATTAAAATAGACCAACGGAACGGAAAAATATTCTGCTTAGCAAGCACAGTAAAGCTCTTAAGTGTTCATAAAGAAATCTCAGATTGAACATCAAAATTAATTATCTCTGCAATATATCGCAAATGTTATTGCACAATACGTGTGCCTTAATTCTTCCGCATGTGATGTTATGCAATCGGAATAAACAGCTGTCGGTATTCAGAGAACAAATAATTAAATCAAGGAAAAGAGACGTACCAATCTGGGGTGTTTTTCGTTCTAATTTTGAACAGACTGCGTTAAATTTCCGGAATAGAATCATTCTGCACTTGGGTTGGTAGACCAAAGAACTTTTAATCCTACTCAATTCAAATTGGGAAGTGACAAAAAAAAAAAAAAAAAAAAAAGTCCGTTGCTTGCTTTGCTGCAAACTGTAACAGTTTTAATATTCGAGATTTTGCAGAGAAAGAGGACCTCCCAAATTCCGTACTGTATAATATGCATTGGCAAACAAAAAAGGAAATTATTTTGACTATCGATTACTTTATTTAAGCCATTCCGAATATTATTCCTTAGAAAGCTAATTGTGTTAAAACACACTTACCCATTTTTAAAGTTTATCTATACTTCAGCAGTTACTGCAAATACATTATTATAAATATTTATACATATGCTCATAATATAAGCATAATGATCATAATAAACGCAAATGTGAACTGACCACGCGGAACGAGAATGCAAGTTATTAAAATCTTGATAGAAATTAAAACATGTGTAGTCTTTGGTGGGAGGAAAATAATATGAAATGTAAAAAAATTTTCTACCGCTTTCGCAATTCTTTGACCAATAGAACGTGCACCTATCTGGACTCGCGCACACGAAAGGTTACATTAATGCAGAGAAAGAGGCGAAAAGCTATTTCCGGGAGTTTGATTCACCATCTTAACATTCCACATAAGGAAAAGTTGTTTTAGTTTTGGCTTCGGTACAAAGAAAAAGGCTAACGAGTTCAGAATGCACAATGGTCTGTATTCTGAACTCAATAGCCTTCAAATACTTAATACACAATAATGCTTTAAGACACAAAAATCCTTGCTTTTAACACGTCACTCGTGTATCTTGTATCATAATTATGTAAAAGAAGTCTAATTATACCATTACATGTTTATAGAATACGTCAACAGAAATGAATGAAATATCATAGAGGACAATCCTAATGCTTTATCCCTTAAATGGTCTTGCTGCTTTATTCCTTAAATACAGCTCAGTATTTGTATGTACCGAATACTCTCAAAATTTCAGGAAAAGTTAAATTTTTTTAATAAAAGTGTAACAATAATAGAACATACTTGTAATATACATTGATTTCTGTATATATAATTTCCAGCTTCACTGATGTATATATCTTTTAATTAGAAATTTTGCATTTTAACTATCAACAGTAAGAATTGAAATTTTCTGTTTAAAATATATAAATAGCATACGTCAGAATCCAGAGATTTTAATTAAAAGCAAACACAATAGGAATTTCACATGTTAGGTGCTTGACACAAAGTAAACATTTCAGTCTTAAGGGCTCAAAAGTAATTCTCAATACACTGGACAAAGAAGATTTAAAAAGTTTAAATGTAAAAACAGTTTGAATTACTTTTGACAAATGTTTTACAACTACTCCAGCACAGACGTGCAGCCCTATTATGTTATTTGTTCTTTAAGATACATGAAACATTTTTCATAATTTGGTATTTTTCAAATATCTTTGAACATTTCCATTTTAATCCATAATACATCGAGTAAATTTTACATTTAGATAAAAATGCTACCCAAATAAGAAAATTATTATTTGTTTAAATCTAAATTAAAACTTAATATTTTGATGAAATTTTTTTGGAATAATAACACACAAGAAAGTAAGAACTAAAATATTTAAAAACTTGGATTGACTGAACACGGCTTCAAAACCACAATGAAATGTACACAAAGCAAAATTTCTGTTCATTTTTATTAACATTCATAATCACAGAATAACAAAAATTTAATGTTCTGAAGTGCAATAAATATCATGAACAATTTAATAATAATTTGCTACATTTCACGGCAAAAAGGACAATACAATTTGATTGAAACATTTCAAATAACTAAAACGAGGTATAAAGTTTTAAGATTTATAAAAACAAATTTGCTGAAACATGAAAACTGACAAAAACTCACATACAAACATTTCAGATTGTAAAAAATGTATTAACAGGAAATATCTAGTGCATAGATGTTAAACATTTTTTCATGCAGCATTTTTATATTATACAAAAAAAGACAACAATGTTAAAAATTCTGTGCATCAATTAATAAGACTAGTTGAGCTGTATTCAGTTATTGCCAAAATTTACATTTCTACATAAATATCACAATATAAAATTCAAATGTATAAATTTCAAAAACAAAACTCTCAAAACTTAAGTCTGTATATAATGGTAATAGCTAATGCATTCCATTATCAACAGTTTAAGTCCAACAGAAGATACAGATATGCTTTTTAATATTAAGTACTCAAAAGTTAACACTGAATGATCAATATCAGCATCAACTGTTAGACTTAAAAAAAAAAAAAAAGATAAATTCTGCTTGAAAAGCAACAAAACAGTAAAATTTCAGTATCAAATTAGTCGAGTAGTTTTTCTCTTCATTCATGTGTGCTATAGTAATATATGAGCCTCAGCACACAAAAAATATCTAGTGAAGGAAAAGTCATCTCATTCAGAAGTATGAAAAAATAAGTTTGTAGCTTCAGATAACTAGTTCCTAATCAGACTATTATCTAGACATTTTTGGCCTAGGGCTACTCCTAAAATCGAAATGAGCATGCAAAGCTAGATTGATGAGCCCTTGATGAGGCACTGCTTTGCTGAAATGCACTTTAGATTCAAATGTCAACACTTTCCATGTTGTTAACTGTATACAGACTTAAAGAGGGGAAAAAATCAAACTACTATTTGATGAGTAGTAAAGCATAATGTTAATGATGAAACTCACTTCCATGCAAACTGAAAAATCTTCAGCCTGATTCCATACTTCAAAACAGCATATCAAACATAAAAAGCAATGGCTGCTTTGGAATACACAACCAAAATGAGGAATGAGAAAAGCGATTTAATTATCAGCATTCTCTTGCTGTTCACCATCTTCTGCTTGAGTATCAGATGTCCAAAGCTGAAAATAAAATAACACATTTTAATGTTATGATTCAAACACAATTGTACATATCAAAGTAATCACATAAACCCAAATTTATAATTTATTAATCCATAAAAACTCCTTAACATAGTCTTCTGCTATAATAGTAAGCAAAATACCTTCAACCCCAAAAAAGGGACTGATGACAAATTGCTGTTTTGTTCAAAAAATTATGCAAAACATACGAAATAGATTTTAAAACTATAATCTATTTTGCTTTTTATTATGTTATCAGGGCAAAGTACCTGTAGTAAGTTTTGGCTGTAAGGAGGGACTCTCCATGTTAAAGGATTTTTCCGTTCTGAGGAAAATCATAAAAACATAATACAGCTAATCAATATCACATGTGTTCTTACTTATTCTGGGTTAACAACAACTATTCATATTAAGCATTTCAAATTAAAAAAATGTCTTGAACAAAAAATTAAAATGCTCAGGGTGATTACAAAAATAACACAGCTAACAAGATGCGGGCTTACATATGCATACAATATTACGGGTTACAATGGAATTTCTAAGAATTTAAAATAGCACTTAATGTTTCACTGATAATGAACATTCAAAAAAGAGCTTTTTTCATTTGATACATTATTATAAACACATTTAAAAACTATTTTTTTTTAACTTTGCATACGGAGTTTATAATTTCACATGTATATGAAACAAAAAATAAGCAGTTATTTAGAAAAAGGCAAAGTATCTAATAAATATAAAATTTTTATATTCAGCACAGTCAACCATAATAATACTTGCATGAACCCATTTCTTATACAGCAAGCTAAAATGCTTTAAATACCTCATAATGAGCTGCATATGTCAATTAAAATGACAAACTGGTAAAATTTATGTACTAAAAAACTGCAACTGTTGTCAAGCACATCAATAGCTAAGACATTTCCTTTTCTTATGTACTTTTTCCAACAACATATTAATTTAATCTTGTTATGAAGCTTCTATCGCTAACATAGTACATTGATTGTATTGAGAACAAGAATCTGCATGCAGATTGGATTGGATTATTTAATTATGGCAAAGCACATGAGGGCTATCTGCCAAAGGGAGGGATGCCTTTGTGGAGGACTTTCTAAGGGACACTGGCTCGTATACCCGTTACACATGGGGAAAACCACAAAAACACCCATGCAGCCAGCCCGTTTGAGGGTTTTCGAACCTCGGACCAAACTACCAGTGTTCAGCGTCTTTACTGCTCGGCCGCCCACAAATGGGAGATAAAGAATATTGATTTTTAATACAAGAGAAATCTACACATAAAACAATCTGATAAAACATACCCTGCATAGTAAAAAATCATAAGTCATTAATCTGAAAGGACATGCAAAAAGTATATCTCCTGATATGTAATTTCAAAATAAAAACTTTCAAATAATTACACATTTAAAATCAGTGTGCCATAGCCAGTATATTATAGCTCATTTCACCAACACAAATGGAAATTTGTGATGCTGGGAGCAGCAAGATTTAACACAGGTGCTAATTTTGCAAGCAAGCAATCGTTATATCATATGTTAGCCTCAAAATAACTGACTCTACATATACAAATACTTTTATTATTCATTTGTATAACAGGTCTTATAAAAGCTATAGATGGAAGGTCAGGCGAGGTGCAGGAAGAGTTACTAAGATGTTTGGTCACACAGTAGCTGCTTAATAAATGCAGATACACATCTACGAGATTTTAGTTTACAGTACAGTCATTGTATTGAAAACATAAATTAGCTTTGAAATCTTACTTGTACCAAAAATTGTAATATGTCTACCATCTCTGAATTACACATTTAGTGAACTATGAAAATATCTGTATACATCTGCCAAATAACACCAAAACAAACAGACCCAATTTCGATTCCGGCAGACCAGTGACTTCCAAAGACTTTTTGTTTGCCCTGGTATATCAAAATTTTATTACAGCCCCAAAATCAGACCATAGGTCTATGTAACAGTTAGAATGTAAATTCGATACAATTATGATTATATTTTGAAGGCATTTTTGAAATTCAAAAACAATTTGCATGAAAATGTATTAATCAAATACACATTTTGAAATATAGCACTGCATAAAAGACTTTTCAATTAGCAGCATGAATAACTTTTCCTCAAAGTTCAGCCTTTGAAATTTTAGAATAAAAAACTAGATGCACAGCCTCATTTTCTGTTCAACATTCATTTTTCTTATGGTATATCCTTTTTACTCATAAGCAACCAAAAATCCAGTTTGTACAAACATTTTTTAATTATATTCCATAGTCAATTTCTCATTTTAGCTTTAATATATCACTGCAAGACAGTTTAGTAAAATTTTTTACAGAAATAAATTCAGAGAAGGCTATAGTTCAGAAAGTGCATTACTTTTACTGGTTTGTTAGTATCTCTCTTTTTTTTTTCTACTTTGGCACCAGCACATTAATGGCGCACTACTAAAGCCACATACACAGAGCATCATGCACCTGAAACTATTTTGGCACAGTGTAAAGAGTGATGATCTAAGCAGATGTTTCAATAAGTCTTTTCTGCTCATGATGTGACATAATTTTCCCCCAGAGAGCTATACTAAGAATGGAGAACTTAAAGGTTTATTTTTGTCACAGTATGCTCTCTTATTTTACAAAAGGGAAAAATAATAGAAAATGCCGATGACACAGTTTGAAGGTGATTTGTGAAGTTGAAGTGTGGAAATTTCAGCCTCAAATACGATGACGCCTCTGGACAACCACCTTTTGATAAAGAAACTATTAAAAGATACTTTTGTTGAAAATACACACTACGCAGTTCAGTAACTATTAGAGAAACCCAAATATCTCTCCCCCCAAAATACAATATACGATAATCTGAAGTATGGGTATTTAAGCCACAATGATATATGGGTATCCCAGACTGCCACATGGTGATTTTAGAAAGAAAATATGCTCCACCTCACATTTTGATGAATTTGAAAGATATCTGAGTACAGATGAGATCTTTTGTGCCAACCCCACATTCAAAAGTGATTTTTTTTTTTTTTTTAAATCAAGGATACAGCAAACTTTCATGATAGCTGAATCAACAGCAATTCAAAGTAGAATGAAAACCTCCCCCCCTTTTTTGCGCATTATTAGAGAGGTTGTTTTCAAAACAACCCTACAAGCAAGTGAAAGACTGAACTATCAATTGCTTAGTTCTAAAGCAGATTATTCATAATACTAGTTTGAATACTTTCATAGAATTACATTATTTGTGATGTATTTTAAATGTAAACATGAAACAATATTAAATGTGCAAATAAAAGGGACTGTACATTCATTATGTGCAGTATGAATGAAATAAGTGATAAAAATAAATACTGAAATAGCTCTAAGTAATCTAAATATATGCTCATATTACCAAATGAGGATTGCAAACTGAATTATTCAATGAAGTATACTTCGGTGAAATAGTATGTTCTGATTAAATTTCTATGGGAAATACATTTAAACATTTTTGGATAAAGTATAACAGGTTCTATTTCTGAAGTCAAACAACATTTTATATTATGGAACAGTTAAAAATATATAGTATACCAACAGAACGACACATTTCCCTGAAATTCATTACATAACATTTTGGATATATATTTACATATATCCATCTTTATAAAAATTTTGACAGTTGGTACTCTGAATGGAATATGCCTCTTTCCCTAATATCAACTTCTTAAGAAGAATGTTTATTCAAATTGCTATTATTCAGCAAAGGCACTCACTACAATCACAAGCATCATCTAAGATTTGAGCATGGAAATCACCCTTTACTAATCATCACAGCATCCCAGAAAACAATGCATTGATTAGCTGTGACTTTCTAGTAACTTTTACCTTATTAGGAGAGCAGCATTTCATAACTGCAATAAAGTTGAAATTCACCTACTGCTTCAGCTTTATTTTGCAGATAATTTTTTCAATGTTTTATCAAACTATATTAGTATTTATCAGCAATTTATACACTAAAATCATAAATGTGGTAGACATCTTCATCATCTAGGTAATGTGAAATATAGAAAGGATAATACCGCTTGATGGGGGAAAAAAGAGAGGGAAAAGCAGACCTATTTATGAATGCTGCCCTTAACTGAATTAAATTACTGTACTTCTTTACTAAACAGATGTTATGCTGGCATTAAGGTGGAAAGTATATTTACTTAAACACTTTTTTTTTTAATACTTAAAATCTTATTACAATGGAGACTTGTACATGAGATTCAGGCTTTATTCACCCCCCCCAAAAAAAACACGTTAAATTTCATACTGGTATAATCAAATTTTAGCTATATTACATTTTATAACATTTTAGTATAAAGATTGTATCACAGAAAACCAAGTTGTTGAAGAATCCAAAAATGCATACAAAATTTCTAATGGCTATAAAGAACTAAAAGCTTATAAAAAATTATAAAACCAAATTATAGTCTCACAGAAAATAATGTTGTTGAACAATCCAAGCACGAATACAGATTTTTCAAAAACTAAATTACAGTTCATGAAATACAAATATATAAAAATATGGACAGTTTTTAAAAAGGTCACTTAAAACTACTTCATGATGAATGTACAAAACACTTACTGTTAAATTATCCCTAAGTAGCTGCATTATTAAGGTACTGTCTTTGTATGAATCTTCATTTAATGTATCTAACTCAGCTATTGCATCATCAAATGCCTATCAAAACAGATTCAGATACTGTTAAATTGACAATAAAGAAATCAGTTATGTACTTAACCTTTTAACTGTCAAGTTATTTTGATGATTTGGGTGCACAAATTGTCAATTTTGTTTTATTTCAAAAATGAAATGTTAGTCTCGCAGTCAAAAAAATCAAAAAAATGCTGAGCACTTTGAACTTTAACCTCTATCCTTTGAAACCTTCAGTAAAATGCTGCCATCTGTTGAACTGAAGCCGAAATAAACTTCTCATGATATATATTCGGGTATGACAATACGATGCACTCAAAAAAAATTAGCCCAAGTATATGACAGTTAAAAGGTTAAAACAGGAACATCATTAAAATTCTAACATCTAAAATTTAGTGCACTATACTTCATTGGTCAAGAAATTCAAGAAATCAGTTGTAACATTTATTTGTTATTAATAAAGATAATCCCTGAAGAATTTACAAAAATTACATTCATTCAGGAAACTATCATTTTTCAAAATTTAAAAAGATAACTAATTACCTGGAATCCCTATTTAAAATCTCTGACATGTAAAATATTTTTTATTTTTGACCCTTATCGAAATTTTTTTTATTGAATAACTTAGTTATACTAGAAAAAGTTCCAATTCCCAAATTTGTATACATACATATGAAACCTACCCCCCAAAACAGATTTCACCAATTCATTACGATCCAGTATAAGAAAGATTTCTTTTGCGTTTCCCAGTATAAAAAAGGAAAATTAACAATTGCAAAAAACATAAATTTCAAATTTTACCTCATAAAGCATAGGAGTTTTTGTATGATTAAAGCATGATCTTTTTATGAATAATTCTCACTGTAAAAAATTCCAATCCATTGATTTGACTTTGAATATTATAATTGCCCTTTTGGCAATGAAATGCTTTGATTGTCATGCCTAGGTCTGAAGTTCTGTTTTGTAGAGAAAATCCTGAATGATTTCACAACACTGTAAACTCTTTATCTCTCAATAAAGCATATCTCCATTTGCCATTTCACCTTTTTCAGTTGCATTTTCCTCAGGCTTCCCACTAAACTATAATTGTACAACATAAATCAAAATTATGATTCTCTTTTGTTATATCACAATAAGACTTGTGAAACAGTTTAACAGTTCAATGCACATAGAGCAACGCTGAGAGCTGAAATTTATTTTAAAAGTTGAGCAATGTTATCCAATCTCATGCGTGCATAGGGAAAGCAGTGCAGCTCATTCCTGCACAATGCAAGCAAGCTGATTACTTTACTGCAAAACAGTGTATCAGATTTATGTCAAAAGAATTATGGGAAAAGTAATAAGATTCCACTAATATTGTAATATGGTTTTATACAGTATCTGCCCTCCTCTTCAAATTTAAAAATTACTGATCTAATTCAAAATAATAAGAGATGTATACGTTTCTTCACCTGAAGTTTGTACATTTCAGACATCGCTTATTAATGAGGGTACATCAGCAAAAATTACAGAAAAAGAGATATAATAATAAATGCAAAAACTAAAACTAAATGCATAATTTTGTTAAAACATTAGTGAGATAATACTGTTTAATGACCTTCCAAGATCACATAATTGGAGCACAACTAACTTCAAGCCATTTCAATGTTAGAACTGTTTTGCATGCTGTTTTGAGCTTAACTGTCATATTTCAGTCCATGTTAGGAATTTTATTATTTTTCCCTCAGTCAAATTAACCATATCAACAGTGCCTGCTTCAAATTTTGCAGTTGGTATTGCAAAAAAGAGGAAGAAAATCATAGAATTCACACACTTCTATAACTGATGAAAATACCAAACTATATGAAATAAAAATGGAGACAGAAAATTTTCAAAAATACTGATCTCACCGACTAGATGAATATGCAAAAATATGATAGAAAATGAAACAAATAGCACAGATGATTCTGCCTTGACAAAGAAGTTAAAAGAAATGGTTACATGTAAACCAGTTCTGATGTATGAAAAGAATAGATTAATCTTGGAGGTTATGTGCATGCTTCTATAAATCAGGAAGAAAATGGTAGTAAAGCTATTTGAGCTCAAATTTGACAAAAGAGCTGAGAAAAATGGGTTAATTTGGGGGAACTATTCTGCAGGGAATCAAGATTGAATTGTCTGTTTTCCTTATGAGATTTCTTTAACCGTTCAGGATTGGAGTTTACTGTACATCAAGAGGTCATTCAGAAGTTCCTTAACAAGGGGCAAACATTATCCGGGGCTGCTTCCTAGCTATGGTACAGGGCCTCTTGTACCTGTGCGTGGTTTTGACAAATTCTGAAAAATATATTAAAACTATAGAAAGAATTATTACAACTAACAAATGTATGACTTGACGGACATAAGATTTTTCAGTGTCACAAATCCATAAAAGATGCAAGTGCTTTGTAGAAGCATTAAGCCTGCGTCCTCAAAATGATAAAGAAGCTCACGTGACCTCATCCCAATCAAAAATCATTCTCAGTTTTGAAAAGAAAGCTGAAAACAAAAGGAAGTCTGTCAAAAAAAAAAAAAAAAAAAAAAAAAAAAAAAAAAAAAAAAAAAAAACCTCGATTTTTAAATCTCATCAAAGTCTAATTTTATGATAATCAGGCAAAACACACACGTGAAAAATGGAAAAATAAATGCCAAAGCACATGGATAAGTTATCAAAAGCCAAACACTGACATTTCGAATTACATTTAGAATAATGTTTTGCAAACCTCATTTTCATTAAAATTATAAGCTTCATTTGACATATCCAGATTAACCCACACTTTGCAGTAATTACATTAGTAAAAAATAGGCAAAATCTTCATACTTTTTTACAAATGTAATAATAAAAAGTTGTATTGTTCAAAATTAATAAGCTTTCAGGGAGAAATTTTTAACCACATTACGTTAAGACTTAAAATAATGCACACAACAAGAATGAGAATCAAATATATGCTTAACACACAGTAAAACAGACAACATATTTAACTAAAAATGAAATTAATGTACCTGTTTAGCTAGCTGACAGGCTTTATCTGGAGATGATAGTATTTCAAAATAAAATACTGAAAAGTTTAATGCTAAACCTAATCGAATTGGATGAGTAGGTTGCATTTTACTTTTACTGATGTCAAAAGCCTCCTGGTAAGCTTTCTGAGACTCTTCAACAACACCTAGAACAACATTTATACATATTTATCACATACAGTATATATATGGATTGTGATAAACTACTAATGTATGCATGCATAATGTTTTGAATGAAAGAATGAAAATATTCATGTCAATTTCATGAACTAATACTGCAACATAATAGAACAATGTAAAACTATATCAGCATCATGGCAAAATATCAAAGTTGGTAGATGACTCATTAAAAGAAACATTAAATTCACGTTACACAAGGGATCCCCCTATACAGCCATTTCTGTAACTGAGAGCTATGCACAAATTATCAATATTTAGCAGTCTTATCCATTCAGCCATTGGTGGGGAGCAAATCATGCAATTGTTTTCTAATGCTTTATATCAGGGATCCCCAACCTTTTTGTCCCTAAGAGCACATTGAATCTGTTGAACGGTGTCTTAGGTATTTTGGGAATTTTACAGACTATTTCGAAATAGATATATCAGCTGTTTGAACAATTTTACTGGTAAGAATCCTCATAGCATGATCTAATCTGCATATTTTTTACCATTTATTCAGTGAAATAGGCATGATGAGAGAAGGAACTCCAGTGTGTTTTAACAAAAATCACAGCTTTCTGGAGACAGAAAAACTTCCATTTCCTACAAAGTTTATTATGATTGGGAAATGGTCACTATTAAATGGATAACTCCCCAGACTAAAGGAGCAGAATGGTAGAAGATGCGGTGAAACAATGGCAAGGACTCATCAAATAGAAGGTCCTTGTTTGCTGAAAAGCATGTAGTTTCTGCATTCTTGAAGATACAGATTTAGTTTAGTTGATTATGGCAAAACATTCGAGGGTTTTCTGCCTAAGGAAAGGACTTTCTAAGGGAAACTAAACAGTTTCTTAGCTTCAGAGCATTTTTAAATAGGCTGCATTTCTTTGTCTTCTTCCCATTTAGGGCAGCTTCGCGAGTATGATAGATGGTCAGCACAATTTACACATTTTGACTTTCATTACCGGTCACAGAACAATGAGCAAAAGCCAGGTTTCCAGGACATGCAGCCTCTGCATGACCAAACCACTGACACTGAGAACAGTGGGTTCAGCACGCAAGGTCTGATGGGGCAATTCAGGTACCCTGCCTTAAAGGTCTTTGGTATCTCTGAAGATAAGAACATCAGGATATGTTTTGTGTTAAGAAGTTGCCCATCCCTATGGATTTTAATTTGAGGAGTCATACATAAGTTTTGCTCAGGCAGTTCTTTCTCAGAGACAGGATGTGTTAAAAGAATTACGTGGAGACACTAATATTTTGCTCACCCATGCACTTCCGGTAGCTCCTCTGAGCCACTGACAGAAGAATCAGTGACAGCTAAGTGTCTCCGGTTTGATCTCAAGCAAGGGCCAAAGCAGCATGTTGGGGAAGTACTTCACCCTCAACTACCAAAATCTATCTTTTCAACCATATGGGTCTCCATGCACGTCAAGAGTGTAGGCAGTTTTCTCACCATGGTGAAACAGAAACAAAAGAGTTGTAACTATACCTCACAGTGAGCTCCATCCTCCATAAATGAAAACCACAATGGAGAAAGAGGAAGAAGTGAAAAAGAAAGAGAGGAAAAGGTGACTGGGGGGCTCTAGGATTACGACCCCAATCACTAGCAAGATAATCTCTTGAAGGAGCTTTACCTGCTATACTTTAGCTTGGCATATTACAATGGTCTTCATCACCATGGCGGCAATATCAGGAGCTGTGCTCCTAAGGTACTTCACCCATTCTGCCTAATGACATCCTCTGCCTTGAGGTATACATAAATGGTAGAGAAAAATCATTTTTTGGAGGATAAAGATAGCCACAAACACAGTCAGATGCATCGCTTACCATAGTTCAACTCATTACAAAAGATAAGGGCACTTGAACATTAATGCAAGCACCTTGGCACAATTTGGGGATTTGTTACTAATGAAATGGCTTTAGCCTTTTCATTAGTATTAAGCTTAGGTATAACGTAGTATTAAAATAGTTATTGGATGCAAGGTGGTGATTTCGGCTACTTCATTTTAAAAAGATTGTCAAATATATCAAAAGAAAACACACTTTTCGCAATTTAACCCTTTCGACTCGACTTTTGCACGATTAAAATTTAACTATGAAAAATAGTTTAATTTAATGTTGACATGCTAAAAGAAGTGTATTATGAGCTTTAAAGTTTTTAACGTTGCCTGTTTCCCAGATATCTCTTGGGGTAATATGTCCCATTGGTATATTTGTTCCCTAATCCCTTAAAAACACTGCAAGTGTAAAACCCATTTAGTGGGTTTTATTTATCCAATAGGGAATGAAATCTAATATCTGGGATGTATGTGCCCATTAGGATTGAAAGGGTTAAAATGCAAATTATAATTATTAAATGAGGATTATACAACACATTAACAAAATGGTTACATTTTTTGGAAAATGTTTATTTTTTGCATTGTTTTTCCCTCCATCTGCAGAACAATCTGTTTTTGCTTTAAAAAATCTCTGCGCACAGAACATTCAACCTTACTCGCAATTCATTCCATTTCCCGTTCCAGTGTAACACATTTTCCACTGTTGTTGTGGTCAAATTTCCCTTAGAAAGCCTTCCACAAATATGCCCTTCTCTAGGCCTGACAGTCCTTGCATGATTTCCCACAACAAATAAACCAAACATCCACTGCTGGCAGATTATACAAGCGCATATTGTAAAATTGAGTTTAAATATCACAATTTGCTCACACACACACATAAAGGAATTTGAAATACAACAAAATGAATACTTGTAAATACAGCAACACTGCTCGACTAAAAGATTGTTGTGAACATGGTTGCCTGAAGAGTGCATAGTTGCATAAAAGAAAGTACCAAAACTGCAAAAACCAAACTTCCTATTGAAATAAAACCTTAAGCAGATATTTTTTGATGACACAAAAAGTATACCAAAATCATTTAAAAAAACTATATCTTTTTTTACTAGTTTTTCATTAACATTTTGATGGCCATCAATGACCTCAGCTTGTATTTTCACAACCACTGAAGGGTTAACTAGGAGATTTGGTTTCTGAAGTAAGGTACAGTGGATACACAGAGAAGATAAGAAAGTTACTGGTCTTAACTGGTAAAAGAAGCTAGTTACAGCTAGCTATGAGCGTAGTATAGTTAAGTGACTTTGTGCTACAAGATAAAAACCAGTTGCAGAGTTCCTAAAGCCAAAATTCAGAACTTTCAATACCACTTCATAAACTGTGAAAAATAAGTACAGGGAGAAGTTAATTATAAATTTTTAGAGCATTGTCAGCATGAAAAGGAATATTGCGTACATACAATAAACTTACCCAAAACTATCTTAAATTGACACTTGATATTTTGTTTTAAGTGAAAGATTTTCACCAAAAGTGAAAAAGGGAACAGTTTAAATGCAAAATCATCCACTCAAATCAAAGAGTGCATGCATATATATGCATACAGATTACATCATGTTAAACAGAAAAATAAAAATTAATGTACTTGTATCAGGCAAGTAGATCTAGGTACTCCGAGTTAAACCGGCTTCTCTTATTCATTAGCAAGACCCTGAGACAGTACTTCGTTATGTCGGAATACCAATAAAATGACATGCAAGCAACAGGAAAATATGCTACTCATCTAAAAGAAAAGACCACTGCTAAAGTAGTTCACCGACTTGCAGAAGCAGAAAATATTACAAACCACTCTCATTGCACAGACCAGTAACTGCATGCACATATATAAAAACAAAGAATGTTTTGATACATACATTGCCCCAATCATGAAGCAAAACCAGAGATACAAGATTATCACAGGAGCAAGTATGGCATGAATACTGTGTTAGAATTGTTGCTGTAAAATAATTCCCGATATAATAGGGCCATGGACAAAAATCAAAAATAATGCAGACTTCTTTGTAAAAATTAATAATGGGAAAAATTATCAGATTATGTTGCAAACAAAGACTGAGCTTTGATGCTGAAGATTTTATCAATAATACTACATCTTTGAGCAAAATCATAAGCCTCTAATAATTAAGATGCAAGAGTTACTAAAAGATTAAAAAAATGAGGCCAGCATGGAAGATTGGAATACTTCATTAATTTAAAAAAAAAAAAAAAAAAAAAAAAAAAAAAGGCAACTGTAGAAGAAACATGTTCAGAAGGCCAGAAAGAGAATGAGGTAAAATTTTGTGGAGTGATTTTGCACCCTGATACAGCAGCAAAACGCAATACAAACATTTTCAATGGCAGTATGATGCTTTTCTTTAGAAATATTTTACAATGCAAATAAACAAATCAAATAAGACAACCTTTTAATGAGACATAGGCTAAATAAGAGTCAAAATAGTGCTAGAGACATGAAATCCCCAAAAGATACTTATCTGATATTTTACGGAATGGAACTTCTAAGCAATCTCTCTTTTCCTTCAACCCTGTTTTATGTTTAGTATTGTGTTCACTTTTTCAGCTTAACGATTTCAATTGTTTTATGAACTAGCACAATAATTATTGCTGTGAAAGTGTAAATAAACATCTAGAAATCAGTAATGGTTCAACTCAATTTACATCAATTCCTATGGGGAGAATAACTTATTTACAAACAACGAGTGATCAGCCTTCAGAAGTGAATCACATCCAAGAACTAAATTTCACTGAAATTAACTTGGAGATGTAAGTGCTCAACAATAATAATTATAAAAAAGTGATCACTACTACCAACATCACATGTAGAAAGAGAATTTCACATGAAGTCACAACATATTTACACTATTTTTTTTTTTTAAATATTCTCTACCAGTTTATATAAAAATTACACATATATATTAAAGTAAAAGGAAGCTCAACTAACTTGTCCTTTGTTCACCTGTGGCCACTTCAGCAAGATACCTATAGTAATCACCTTTCATTTTAAGGTAAAAGACTTTGCTTTCTGCATTGCTTGCCCTGGGTATCAAAAACTTATCTAACAGACCCTATAAGAAAACAAAAATAAAGAATATTTAATGGGCACAATTCACAAAACGAATGTTAAACATGAAAACAAAATAACTTACATTTTCCCTCTTATTTAAGAGTTTAAATTCCGAGAATTTTTTCATGAAATGTAAATAATTCTGATGCTTTTCATCTAACAAGTTTGAGCATTTGCACACAAATTGTTCAAAGGGGTTACTTAATCGACTTCGCTCAATGCCCGTAGTCTACGGATGTGGTAGGGATGTAGCATATTTTTATGCAGAATGTGCAAAATGCTGGAATGAGGTACATCCAAGCTGTGTTCGATTGCTCTTATATATTTTTCCCAGGGTTTTTTAAATTTCTTATAGCACAGCTTCCTCTACGCAAGTGTACGTGTAGTACGCTGCCCAACCAATGTGGCTGCTTTCTTAGAAAATTCCAGCCTCACTTAATTAGCCGTGCAATTATCCAAACAATAGGTCATTTGGCAGATATCTGTTTGAGAAGTGCTCTTGGTACATGCATCTTGTAGACTGTTCATTTCCATCCATGGCCCGAGAAACATAATGCATTTGGGCCAATTCCTCGCTAGTGAATCGGTACATTCTTCTCCAGCGACATCCTTGCTTGAAATGATTCTGCTCCAAAATATCATGTGAACATTGCTCTATTGCAGCGGTCACAATTTCGGACAAAAATTCCCATGTAAAACTTGTTTGTGGTGTAACAGATCAGCACATAAAGTTTGTAAATGATCCTGCGTAATGTATTCTTCGAGATGTTACTTTTTGTTACAGAAAAGGCCACCAGTAAGTCATGGAACAAATTTATTTCAAGCTAGATTTGGGTAATGTTTGGAGCTAGTTTTACAAGTTTCTGTAACCGGAACATTAAATCTATCGTACAGTCAAAAGTCGTTAATCCAGACTCATCGGGACTTGGCAATTCCGGATTATCGATTTTTCCAGATTATAGATCATCAGTTTAAATCTCGTAAGATGGCATGCAGAAATTCTAAAATTAAAAATATGAAACCTTAATTTATGAAATAAAGAACAATTATAATCTAAAGGGTATCAAAATTTACAAAAAAAAAAAAAAAAAAAAAAAAAGTTAATATTTATTTGTTTACTTTATTAAACATTTCTTTCAATGTAAGTTGTTTTAAGTTGCTTCGTTTTATGTGATAATACTTTCTCTTTAATTCTATAAACAGACACAATTTCTTGTTCAGTTACAAAGTTTCGCTGTTCAAGTCCCGTTAATTGTTGTGCCGAGAATACCGACTAACTTGTCAATCGAAATTTTTTCGTTTTCACTAACCTCTCTGTCACATTCTTCATGTCTTTATCCATTTTTTGCAGCAATTCCACTTTTTGTTTGATGGACATCGAAACATACTTTCGTTTTGAATCGAAAGTTCAAGTTTACTTTTATAAAATTGCTCTTACAGTCTGCAAAAAATAATAATCCGGATCCAATTCGAAGATTAAGGAACAACGCAATCATCAATATTAACTGAAATAGATAATTTTAGATTATGCCGTCCGTTATACATAAAACGCGCACGCGAAAACGTATTCTGCACTTGCGCAGTGGTAAAAGGTCTTACACGCATGCGTTAACGCCTATGCGCATGTGTCAACGCGGTGCATGCGCAGAAAGTTTTTAGCTTTGAGGTCCGGATTATAGATCATTCCGGATTATGGGTGTCCGAATTAACGACTTTTGACTGTATATATATATATATACCTTACTGCATGACAAATTTATACTTTTAAGGACTTATCTGTAAATGGGATTTGAAAAAAATTAAAGTAGTTATCTATGCCCGAAACTTCCAATCCTGCAATACCTTTCTAAGAATAAAACAGATCTGTTGAATATTATTAATTATTAAACATAATGCAATACTAATAAAATTGCAAAATAAATTTGAGAATAATAATAACTTCATAAAATTTATCAAATAATTAGCATTAAATAACAAAATTCTTGAAACTTAAATTTTAAAAGATGACTAGTGACATTTTATTTAACTTTAACAAAAAGCTGTATGCTGATTGATTCTTTTAAGCCTCTTTTTGTCTTGTACTTTCTCTCCAGTGGTTAATGCATATTTTAAGTCAAGCAGAATGAATAGGTTAAAATGAGAAGTAAAATCATATCCAGCATGATTCATAATGGAACCTTAGGTGTTGCCACTACTGTTGACTGCTAAGCAAGAACTGATAAGAACATATGTGAATACTCAATGATAGCCCAGTTGATAAGTTTTGTTTTGCTTTGTTTTCTTACACAGTTAGTGTTATAGCTTTGAGCAGAGTTGCTGGGGTTGTAACAGAATTAATATACGAGTATTTCTTAAGTACTCACCTTTTATATCATTATCACATACTGAGAGTTACCAAATGTTAGATACGACAGTAAACATTCACCATTTTTTCCATTCATAAACTTATTTCTACCTAAATAATCTCTGTAAAAATTTAAACACAACCAAACAAGCTTATTCTACCAAATACGAGGGTTGGAACTTTAATAGTGGCAACTATTTATTTACAAGGAATACAAAAGTGATTCATGTCACCATGTTTTACAGTCCTTCAATATAGTCGCCAGCATTGTGTACAACCCGTTTCCAACGATGTGGAAGTCGCAGAATACCTGTAGCCGCCTGTTTTGTTGATAGTTTGAATGGACCGGTCTACTGCCTCAAGAATCTCAGGAACAGTTTGGAAGGCGAGTGTCACGAAGTGGTTCCTTCATCTTAGGAATTAAGTCACAGTCACAAGGGCTTAGATCTGGGGAGTATGGTGGATGGTAAAGCACTTCCCAGCCCCCATCGCTTGAACAAATCAGTCACAGCTTGCGCTGCACGCGGCCGAGCATTGTCATGCAAAATGAGAGGAGCGTTCTGCAGAAAGTGTCGCCATTTTTTTTTTTCTCAAAGCTGGTCGGAGATTGTGCTCCAAAAATGAGCAGTAATGCTGTGCAGTGACGGTCTGCTGTGGGAGAACGGTATGCGTTAGGATGACACCATCACAGTCGTACACGAGAATCACCATAACTTTCACATTGCTGGGGTTCTGACGAAATTTCGAATGTCGTGGTGACTCGTGATGACGCCATTTGTTTGATTGGTGTTTCAGTTCTGGCCCAAGTCTCATAACAGTGTAAAAAAGCATCTCTTTCGTGCTCATAGCGCTCCAGGTGAGTTCGAGCAGCATCGTATCGTAGGCATTTCTGCATTTCCGTCAATTGATGTGGAACCCACCGTGAAGCAATTTTTCTCATGGACAGTCATTCCTTCAGAATGTGCAGCACAGTCGTATGCGCTAATCCTGTTTGTCCGGCCAGCTGACGAATCGTTTGGCGGCAATCACTGTCCATAAGTGCAACAACAGCTTGCACGTCTGCATCATTTGAAACTCGGACGACCTGGCCGCAGCATGTCTGCCACGTTTTGGCGTCCTTCATCGAATGCTTTCACCCATCTTGCTATGGTTCTGTAAGGCAATGCAGATTCCCCGCAAGCCATGAAGCTCTTGATGACCTCTGGCACATTCAATTTTTATCCAACATCGTTGTTCTTGTTTTGAAAACATCCTGACAACACTTACTTTAGATCGCGAGCTAATACAAGGATCCGTTCTTTGCGTCACCCCGCATGCGCGTGACGTAGGCAGGACGAGTCTTTTTGCTGAGAGGTAAGTTAGGTATGTAGTTTATGTGTGGTATTCGCGATATTCTTTGGTTTTGTTTTGTAACGTTTTTTCAGCTGTGTTGTCACTTTTAAAGCTCTAACCCTCGTATATAACTTCTTACAACTGTTGCCACTCAAAGATAAACTAAAGGGAAAATAACATTACACTGGTTGAATGTATATGCAACAAGCGTCCTCTATGTTTCCTCTTCATCTTATCTTTAATTTTTGTAAGTTTTAATTTTTGCAAGATGGCAACAAAGAAACTGTTCGAAAGAAAATCATTCATTGGGATTTAGTTTTTAAAAAGCTACTTATTTGTTTCAATCCTGTTTCCTCATCAATAAAGTTATTTAAAGAAGTTTGTTCTTTAAAGTATATTAATACTTGAGATTTTATTCAACGACCTTCAAACTGTACTGCATCACGTAAGTTCGGCGTGAACAAGATGATTTGTCACTGAAGGAAAAATGTGCCCATACTAAAGAAAACCACTAAATCTAAAAACGCCCTGCGTTATGGATCGGCTTCTTTTCGAGAACTGGAAAAAGCTTTAAGTGACTGGATTCTAGACAACAGATGGCAAGGTTATGTCATAACCTGAACTGCGATATGTTTGCAAGACATGAAACTTGTGAAAGATGAAAAATTTGCTAATGTAAATAAACTCTTTTCGGGCATCACAACATTGGTGCACAAGATTAATTGAATAGCTATGGACTATGTTTACGCCATCGTACTAAAATTTCATCGAAATTGCAGAGTCAACTCGAAGATAAATTAATAAACTTCCAAAAGTATGCGATTGAAAAAAATAACCAATTTTGAAATGTCCTGAATAAGAAACATGGATAAAACTCCCATGACTTTAAATCTCCCTGAAAATTTTACTGTTGATAAAAAGGGTGAAAAACAATTCATGTAAAAACAACTGGTCATGAGAAAACTCTTTTCACAGTATTTCTTACCCATAGCAAATGGGAATAAGTTGCATCTCATGATTATTTTCAAGAAAGAAACGTTACCAGCAGGTGTTCTTGTTCACCCTCACAAAAATGGTTGGATTGGTGACACCCTAACGATTGATTTGTTTCAAAATGTATGGTGCCAAAAACCAGGTGCACTTTTATAGAAACCTTCGCTTTTGATCTGGGACATGTTTCGAATGCATCATTCAGAAGTTGTAAAAAAGCATGCAAAAGCAAGTTCAAAAAAAATTTCTGTGATCCCAGGAGGGCTGACATCCAGTTTACAACAACCCGACGTCTGCACAAATAAGTCGTTCAAGGTGAATATGCGCAAGCATTG